TTGATCATGTGGACCCTTACTTCAAAAAGCATGGATTTGATCTAATATAAGCTTATTCATTGATTTTCCACCGAGGTTCCTCACGCTGTGCACAGTTGAAGGATGCTGGGCCATTCAAAATGGCTTCTTCAGCGCGCCATCATCCTCTCCTCCTCTAGCCAACGTCGATGGCATTCGGCATTGAGGAGAAAGTATTGCATCCCATATATGCTCCTTGATTCCCTGGATTCTGGATCTCCTTGGGAAAAAGTAGGCAAATGATTTGCAAAGATGCAAATTAATTGGGCATGATAACGATGTTCTTATTCTTTGATTTATTTTGATCGTAGGCATTAGAAGGATTTTCTTTGTGGCTGTTACGCTGCTCTGCTAGGCATTAGGAGTTCATTTTTTACTGGTACGCCTGCTCTGCACCATTATCTAAAAAATAAGTCCTAACAAGAGTATGTTTGTAGCTAGCTTTCACATGCTTCTGTTTTGTGAAATATAGCAAGAATGCAGCATGTACTCCTATGTCCTGCATATGAACGTGAGAAGAAACTTAGGCACACCCTACTGAATTAAGACCGGTGATCCATGTTCAGCTAATTGTTTTACACACTCCCCGCAAAAATAATAATATAGGATATGTGATTGTCCAGTAAAATACAGTAGGCCAATCCATAGGCTGTAGTAAATTAATTTTGTTTTATTCACAGGAATGCAGGTGTTTTATTACTCATTAATTATATGGGGTTTCCACACTTACAACTGATGCATTTAACAGATTTTGAGAAGAAATAGGTTATTTTTTGTCCCATATAATATTTATCTTTAAAACTGGAAGTAAAGACAACAAAATTAGTGGATACTAGGGTGACTCCTATATAATTGATCAAATACAATCAGATAATATAAGTTGTGATTTATGTAATCAAATAATATATTACAGTTCATGTAAACCTAAATATAATTTGTATCATTTCTTGTTTTTTATTGTGTTTTTTCATAGAACTAAAAGTCGATTTTCAGAGAGACATTGGTTTCAGCTTTGGCCTTCTTTAGTTGAAAGATTATGCTGCTTATTCTGTCATTCTGAGAGTCAATATCTCAGCAGCAAGCTGGCAACTTAGCCAATGATGTTGGACGATCCAATTCTTGGATTGTTGCTGTATATTCTGAATTTCTTTTGTGAACAAAAGCGAGGAGTTTGAGAGGATCTGCAATTGTAAAATTTACTTGTTTTCATTCGAATTGTTTACTTAATTATGAAATGATTTTTATTTCTTCTAGATTTGATATACTATTCTTGGGCTCATGGGATTGCCTGACACGGTGAAGAGCTAACTGTTGGTGTTGTTTTACATCAGTACTGCTTGTTTTATTTCAATGTTAGACGTGGTTCTGACAAAAAAATGAGGGCTGGTTTTTAATTTCTTGTGAGGCAGCATGCTACTGATACAAAGGAAACTACCGCCCTAAGAACTTAGCCCCTCTAGAGGATTACATGACGATTAATTGTGAAGCAGCTCGTGATCATGAAGTTGGCATGGTCTTTGCCGCGGCTAGATATCTGAGCCAAGCAAGTCAAGCTATGCGTGCTGAAGTAATCATGGTGAAAAGGGCATTGTTTTTGGCCGAGCTGAGGGGGATTGGAAGGATCATTCTTGCAACTGATTGCAATAACCTAATCAGGGTTGTGTCATTCAATGCATATGACAGTTGAAGCCTCGGTCAGCTATTTTTCAGAGATCAAATACATGCTCTTTTTGTCCTTTGTCCAGTACCGAGTTGAATTTTCCTGAGGGTGTGCAATCAGGTAGCCCATTTACTAGCAACAAAGGGTGCAGGGGAGGGCCACAGTTGCCATGCTACCATTTGTTGGCAGGTGATTTAATTGGGCCTTGATAGAATACTAGCCATGCCTGCGCGGCGGCACGCCGCGCCCCATTGATGCATCATGACGAAAATGTGCTGGATGATAATAACTGGGTTACTTTCTTATTTTACTAATTCGGATTTAAGACGAAGGTTGTATGTGTGCAACATGGGGGTTATAATCTGGCAAGCAACGCAGAACCGAATTGGACAACATAGATTTATTCATTACATAAATTGATGTATTTTCCAGAGTAGGAAGTATATGTTGCTACTCTCATACTAAGAACCACTATGCTATAGATCGAACATGTTACAATTATTTATACTTTATATCTGTCTTTGAGAAGAAATATATAGTAGTTGATGTCTCATTTGTACCGGGAGAGTGTTTGTGCTGGATCCCGAAGTAACTGGTTGTGGTGAGAGAGATGGTTAGTCGACCAAATGCATGTTATATTTCACATGAATATGAGAGGAGGCCGATAAGATCATCATAGCACAAGAAAATTTTGCTTTACCCACATCAACAAATTTCTGCTATTCATTCTTGTAGAGGTTTTTCCACTGTACATTTCCTCCATGATCATGAACTAACTATGTGCTAGTTTTTGTATGAAAATAAGCATGCCCTAAATGTCGCTGAAATTGAAATTTACATAAACATGTGAAAGCTTAGTTGTTGCAAAAGGTTACACTCTTAGTTGCATCCAAATACTCAAAGAATACCAACCAAAGATAATCACCGGATAATGCCATGACCATCTTTTATGATACTCATTAAAAGTGCCTACAATGAAAATATCGAATTTTTACTCTCTTCTTCCAATATTTGACAGACGGCTTTGTTTGTTCGCATCCTTTTGATTGATTTTTTTAGTGGTTAACTGTTCACACATTGAATCCCCCAAATATAATGCATAAATATTACTTATCAATGATTTATGAAACAGGTTTTCCTCGGAAATTTTTTATTTAAATCAACACAACTTGCCGTTTTGCCTTCTCCAATTGACTAATGTAATTATAAACTTATAATTTATATACAGTTTAAGTTGAAAGAAATTAACTTCTTGCCTAGAGATGAGGCTTGTTGATTAATCACGACTGTATATGTCGACTACGGTCTAAGCAGTAGATTAATGAATAATCATCCGCTGTTAATTAAAGAGATCCAGAACAATACATAAAAAGGCCAAAGATGACAAATAACTAAATTTATTATGGCCATGCAAATGCATGGATACACACAGAACGGTTAACATTGACATATCTTTAAGGAAAACTATTTATTGAAACCATATACAGCTCACTCTATGCAGTAAACAGTATACAGTGCTATTATTTTACAAAACAACAACTAAAACTTTTTGTAAGTTCTTTATTATCTGACTTACAAACATTGATAAGAGTTGTTTCATTTACATGAAACAACAAAGGGTCTCGAGGAAACAATAACATATGTAGCTTAGCTTGTGCATGATGAGCAGCAATACACTCGAGCTGCATGAAGTCATGTAGTCTCTTTGGTAGCACAAAAGCTAACACATTGCACTTGTGGAAAGGAGACCGTAGGCAGGTCATGGCGTTTGTGCTGAGCTTGTGCAAGATGTGCTCAAGGTACATAAGTGAGGTTGTTGCCAATGGGTAGCTGAATACCCCATTACCATTCTCACAGAACCTGGACGATCACACCTCCTAATCGTACACCTACACGAAACACACGGGGAATAAGAATTAGGAATCAAGAGAAAGATGTCCAAGCAAGCAACCATGCACGCAACAGGTGGCCATTTCATGTAAAATCCATGCACACGTAGTCACATCGCCTGCCAATCCCATGCACACAGCCACATCAGCCCGATGATAGCCCCCCTCTAAAAAAAAGCTGCGTGCGGCTACTGGTTCCGGACCAAACAATCGCATGTATGGTGTAAACAACCACGCGTGAACATTTTTGAGAATTTTAAATATTGTAAGGGAAAATATTTTATTCAAGATATTTTTTCCTAAAAAAATCTTTATGTTTTTAATTATAGTTTATAGACGACTATGCTTCTATTTGGAGAGAAAAGGTTTGAAAAGGGGTTGTGCACAATAAGAGTAAAATTATTTTCTGGAGAGAACGCCGTACTCCCAACTGACCATGCAAGCAAATAACAATACGTACGACAAGGTTATGACAGTACCTCAGACCTCTATGTAAAGCTAGATGGAACCATCTGTAAAAATCATAAATCATCACAGTCGACGGACATTCAACATTGAATATAAATGAGTCCCAAGCCTGAGAGATGGAAGTTCGGTATCAAAAATTATTATATACCAGGAAAAAGAAAAATGGATAAACCAACAAATTACACAGAGCTTAGAAGATAACCGCTACACTTCCACAATTCATCTAGCATCAGCACGCTGAAGATCTTTTTTTTTTTGAAGCTAGCACGCTGAGTATCTGTCGTAAGAAGAAGTGATCAACAAAGCCAAGCAGCCAGACCTCTCCGTTCGCCAAAACTGTGAGGAAACCAGAAACTGAAACTACCTGCAGTGAAAAGAGCTATGCTGCTGGCGACAACTGCAAAGGTGTAACGCAGGGCACAAGGTGCAGCGACATGCGCCGGCGAAACAGCAGTCCCGACTGGCCGGAGCAGTCCGCCCCCGCACGCGCTGAGCACCACCGATCACAAATACAGAGTTGCCGGCCCGACAGCGCATGAAGACTGGCATCGGCGATGTACACATACATTGTCTAGCCCGAAGCCCCTGTCTCCCATCCGCTGTAGTGGTCGCCGCCACCGCCTCGGGGAATCACCGAAGAGATCAGGACACTGCTCCATCGGCGATCTGGCTGCTGGCGAGGAGCATCTCCTAGGCATGCTGTGGGCCGCCACCGCAGCAATAGGAGGCCCTGCACTACAGTACAACTACATCTACAGGCCGTCTCTCGCCAGGAGCTACCGGACGCGTGCGCCGGCGTCCACGGATCCGGGCCGCAGGCCACTACGTCCAGCTCGTCCGAGTACTCCAGCTACGGCGGGTTGCCGTTCAACCACAGCCGCCTCCGCCCCATCCGCACCACCGTGCAGGCGTTCACGGAGGGCCGCCCGTGCCCGCGCCTTAGGAGTTAGAAGAAGACCAAGAAGCTAGCGGAAGCCTCCATCCGCGCCAAGCTCAGGGACTTCCGTAAGCTGGCCTCCCCCGGCGGGCGGCTCGCGAGATTCCCCAACATCATCTTCGCCGGCAAGCGCGCGGTACGTGTGCTCATCGGCGTCGTGGTATTCGTGGTCCTGCCTGAGCAAGACCAGTTGACGCGCGGGCAGGAGCACCGTACCATGCGGTTCATGCTTCATGGACAGCGACCGCGAGGGGCCGGCGGCGGTGCCTGGGGCAACTCTCAGGACGGTACTGGCGCAGGAGGCGTCCTCCGGCTGGCGATGGCAACATGATCTCCAGCATAGCTTCGAGGTTAGTGGAGCCATGGCACCGGGCCGCTCAAAGTATGTATATACTTGCCGTGGCCGGCGTACACTACCTTGTCCGCTGGGAAGGAGGAGAGCCTCTTCTTATATAGGCTTATAGGGCGGTGGTGTTGTGCTTTCTAGAGAAGACCGGGCATGGGAGAGAATCGAGACACCAGAACCAACGCACCTATCAGAAGAACACAACGACCGAACTAACAGCGGCACACAGGCAACGACAGCGACCGGAACCAATACAGAGCCCGATGACGAATAGGAAACAAGAAAGCGACTTCGGCCAACAGCACCACAGACCGACAGCGACCTATCACAACAGCGAACAAGGGCCAGAGACAGCGACCAATCACAAATGCGAAGAACGACACCAGAGAAAATACTAAACGAACCAAACCAAGCTGCACGCACGTTCAAAAAATTTCAAACGAAAACTTGAATCCACAACTCATTTGTACACAATCAGGTACCAAAATAATACACGTGCCCCATAAGAATTTACCCAAAAGTCTTTTTCATCCAAGTGGATGAATCTCGAAGCGAAAAAGCTCCGAGAAATAGAGGCTTGGGTATGAATGTGCCATTAAAAAAATGTTGGACGTTCGACGCCAAATTGCATTTCACGGCATGGGCTCCCTACTCCCTGGACAAGTTTCCTATTCCCCGGAGAAAGTTTAGTGATGGGAAGTCATCGAGGTATAGACCACCCTTGCGGTATATCATAATCGCCACTCCCAAATGTTATATTGACTTTATCCATTAGTTACATTGTTTTGCCCCTAGCAACGCACGGGCATTTAACTAGATAGAATAAAACGCGACTATAACAAGTTCGGTTGTTGCGATGAGATCCGGTGGTTCTTATCTCTGGCTAAGAGCATCTCCAATAGATGGTCTAAATTTTGGTGGTCCAAATTGTTAATGGTGCAAATTTGGAGCACTAAAAAAATGCTTTTTACAACTCCAACAGATGGTCCAAAACGGAGATATAAAAAAAAGCAACTCCAACAGATGGTCCAAAACGAAGATTAAAACGGCCAACTACTACTTCATCTCAACATAGTTCAAACATGAAATTCAACATAGTTTCATACACAAATTCAACTACTACTTATTTGAACTACTAGATGAAACTACTCGTCGTCGGAGCTGCGGAACTGCTCCCAGAACTCGTCCTTGGTCGGGTCATCGCACCTCTCGTCGTCCTCCTTGGTGCCACCCCAGTCCTCATCCAACGACTCGATAGGGATCACAGTCGAGGGGCCGGCCTTGTCCTCCTTCTTCACTCCCTTCATTTTCGCCTCGACGTCGCGCTTTCAGTAGTGCTCCAGCTCGGCCTGGACGTACTGCGGATGCTCTCGCGCAAACCAAGCCATCGCCGCCTCGTCGCTCTCGCCGGGAGCGACAATAGCCGCCAGTCTCTTCTTCGCCTTCTTAGCCGGCATCTCCTCCATCCGGATGCCCTGTGGCACGAGCCAACCGCCTGGGACTCGACCTCCGGGAAGTTTAGGTCCGTCTTCGACCGTCCGGCACACCACACCGCCACGTCGTAGGCACGCGCGACCTCATCGGCAGTGGTATACATGCCGAGCCACCAACGCTGCCCAGCGTTGGAGAACTCCAGTCCAAAGTTCTCGGAGGGCGTCGCCCTCATGCCGAAGAAATCGGACTTGCCCTTCGGCGCCATCGGGGAGCGGGTGGCGGCCGAGCGGGGAGCGGGGCGGCGACGTGCGG